CTCATATCACACATATTATTGCTTCCCCTTTTCTATTTTCATGTGTGTCTATGTGTAAAACTGTTCATTATTGAAATTTTCAAACACACAAAAGTACAGAGAATATAAGAAATCTTATGTAGCCATCATCTACCTACCTTCAACAGTTTTCAATATAACCAATCTTGTTTCATCTATTCTCCTTTCCACTCCAAATTATTTTAAATCGAAAATCCTGATATCATAATTTAATTCATAAATACATTATAACTCTAAAAAGTCAGGACTGTTTAAAAACAATTATCGCACCTAAAAAAATTAACTCCTTTATATCAAATATCAAGTCAATGTCAAAATTTCTCCCAAGTTTTCATAAATGTCTTTCTACAGTTAGTTTTGCTCAAAGCAGGGTCTAACTAAGGCCCATATTCCATTTGGTGGGTATGCCTCTTAAGTTTCTTTTAATCTTATAGTTCCCTCTCCCTCTCTTATTTCTAGCTATTTATTTCTTGAAGAAGCCAGGTCATTTGTCCTTAAAACATGAAACATTTTACTTATTTATTGATTATGTCTTGTTATTAGAATGTAAACACCATAAAGCGGGAATTTTAGTCTGTGTGGTATCTGCATCTAGACCAGTGCCTGACACGTAAAAAGAATCCAATAAATACTTACTGAATGAATATTTGGCATTCATGCCAAAAGTCCACTGCCCACCCAACAGCAGAAACTGCTAGTCACAGCACTCTTTCTTGCTGAGTCTGACCTAGGACTTCCAGTTTTCTGAACATAACATTCCAGGCAGCCACAGCGAAGCAGTCAAGATTTGGTACCCAAAGTGAAATTTGTTATCCCTGTGTTAGCCCCCTTCAAAATAAGTGCACTTCTATCTCCAAAACAGATTCAATACACCTTGTATGTTGAAACTGAGCTGAAGTTTAGCATAATAAATTACTGACTGTCGTTCTTGTCAAGTATGTTTAAACATTTCTTAGCTTATTTTACAATTTAGAGGAAAAAGCAAATTGCAGCCAAAATAATATAGAAAAAGAAGAAGAAGATGGTGGGAAACTGGGGATACTACATATTTTTAGAATTGCAGCATCCCAAGAGCTTCATTATAAAATAAAAATCAGCAATAATTTTTTTGAAAAGTAAATCATCTGTATATTGAATTAAAAACTTTAAACAAACAAACAAAAAAAACTTCAATAGTCAAGATTAACTGGGGGAGGACAAATGTCAGGATCTTCCCATTTATAGGCCCAGCAACATAATCTATTTTTCTGTAAATGGTATTTTGAGGTGTATAAAAAGTATTACAGGGGGGATACAAGGACTACTATGTAGAACCATATTTCTCTGACACAGAGTTTATTGTGGCAAAAAAAGTAAAAACTAAACAAAAAATCTTATACTATATTCTGAAAAAATAATCAGGTTTTCTTAGACTCATTTACAATTCATTTCTCTACCTGATGAAGCTCTTTTCCTCCAAGTTTATTTCTGAAGGAAGCTATGTTAATTCAAAGGCTCCAATCAGATGTTCATGTTTCTATTAGTACTTATTTCTATTTAAAAAGAAAAAATAATCAGATATTCCCTGACATTCACTCAAAAAATCTTGTGCTTTCTATTACTTGCAAATTCATTCAGCAATTAACAAAAATTATGTAGGACCTATTATGTGTAATATGTTAGGCAATTACTTTTAACCTTTGGAAGGGAAAATGATTAGAAGTGGTCTTTCAAGATAACAGAAAAAAGGCTAGTGGTAAAACTTGAAATTATATCTAGTTCTTTCAGTGACCAATATTTCTTGTTTTGAGGTTCCCACACATTAGTCTGAGGAAAATTTTCTCTGGCAGAGGTCAAAATTAAACAAAGAAAAACAACACTAAGCTGCCACTACCAGATGTGCAAAAAAAAAACCCCTCCAACAACCCAAATCCCTAGAAAGACTGATTTCTATTTACTTTTCCTGTGTAATCTATTTAGAGGGAATCTGAAAAAGATGGTTAGAAATCTATAAACAGAAAGTGCTAAGTGGAATTCACTGTTTATAGATGTTAGCTAGAATTTTGTCCTTTATATAATGTTGCCAGAACTCTTTAATACTGTACGCTTTAAAAACATCTTCATTGGGCTTCCTTCATTCTGTTGATTTTCTTTCTTCTTTCCACTGGCTCTTGAATTTGTTTTATTCCCCTCAATTACAAGACATAAATGTAACTTTTGGAATAACACAATTTTCCCAAAGGAACTCCTAGAACCATCTCAGTGCCACCATATACTTGTTATTATGAAGTTTTAACATATGTAGTTAAAATGTAATAAAATAATCCATAAGCCTTTCTGATTTCATAAATACTAAGATAGGTCCACATTGATGTGCCATGTAAGATGTATGTATGTGAGAATGTTAGAAAGATAAATGGTTTTCAGTTCTAAGTCTTTTAACTTAAAATCTTTCTCAGCTATAGAAGCTGCTGTCTGAAAACAGTTGTTCACAGAATAGGACTCCTGTAATCTTTATCATATGACCTACTGGACAACCACAACAAGGTATATCCTGAAATGACAGAACTCAATGTACAAGTGACATTTTGACAGCCTGAAAGGAAGCTGAAACAAAGTCAAATGGAAACTTACATAGGCTTTCCCCTGAATCTTGCCTCTGTACCATTCAGCAGTACTAGAGACCCAGCTCCTTGCCCTGTACGTTTCAGTCATTTCTTTTAAGGGGTCCCAAAGAAATCAGGGAATTTGCAATACCAGTTTTACAGGTCAACACTAACTTCTGCCTTTGGACTCCAGTGATTAAGCAAAGATATTGTTAGTAGCTTCCTTAAAGTAAAATGCCTCTGGTAAATTTGGTTTGTAAATGCTACAGAAAAATTTCAACATAACCAACTGTAAGATAACTTATATGGCAATTTTAATAAGAGCACAGATTCCACATCCCTCTCCCCCAAAATCTACCAGTAAGATACAATTTCCAGCTCACTTTTATTCGTCAATAAATACTACTATTATTATATTACAGCACTTCTATAACATTAATAAAAACCTAGATGAGTTTTCTCTTTAAAAGTCACAAATTTATTAGATGAGGCATTATAACCACTTCACTACATGCAACTTTCCATACATTTAACTTTAGTTTTATTTTCCAATTGTTTAAACTCAAGATATTTTATTAACATACTACAGAAAAGAAAAGGAATGTTTAGAGGACTGCGTGTGGGTAGGGGGTGGAAATATCAAAATAACAGATGTCTCACTTTCCTTTTCTGATGTAACCATCAGAATCTAAAATCTGGGGGCAACTATGTAATACAAAATTAAATTCAAAAGAATTTAGGATAAATGAAAGTATACACTGTTACTACAGTTCTGATCATTATTTATCTCAGGAAATAACTAGTAGGAATGATGCTTGATCCAAATTTTGGTACCTTCCAGTTTGGTTCAGCTACCAAAATAAACAAACTTGTCCTCAGAGTTAAGTATTTTCCTTCAGAAGAGGCTGTTGGTATAAATTATAAAACATAAGGAATTCATATGCTGTATTTGTACAATAAGGACAATGTTTTGAGAGCTGTAAATCTGATCACACTGAGAAAACATTTTCTGTTATAAAGAAAATATCATAAGCTGAAACAGAACTGTAGAAACTGAACATTCTTTGCAATTCAAAGATTTTAATTCATACTATGCAAACTAAATAAAAAATCCTTAGGTTTTTCCTCAATCATAAAAGTGATACATATTCAATGTAGAAAAAGACAAAGCCAGTTCTGAAACAAAAGATCAGCTATGAAAACAAAATAACATTTTGCAGAGTAAATACACAGCTTTTGAATCAAAACAAATAAGTGACCTTTTCACACAGTTAAAACTTCAGTCCTTAGCACAACCAAGCACCTATGGATAAATGCTCACTTAATAATTTGTTAGTATACTGTTGGATGATTACACGATGGTAAGGTTGTTGATGCTGTTAAAACCAAGACACATTTCCTTGTGTGTCGTGATTAAAATCTGTTAAACCTACATTTAAAAATCTCTGCCCTCCCACTTCCCGATCATTACTCTTCTGCCTTATAAGAGACCTGCACATACAAAAATAAAAGTAGATGGTGAGGTGTTTATGATTACAGTATTTTCCCCTCTCGGGGCCTTTTTAAAGTCCTTTGAGGTTCTAAGATTCAAACCCTATGTAAAAAGAGTGATTGTTTGAACTACCTAACAATTACCCAGACTTCTTTTAGACTTAAGTTAACCTATAAGTAAAATGAGTATCTTTAACTTTTCCACGGGGCATTGGAGAACCAGTTCCTACTCATAAATGCTTTCAGGTCCTCAGATACCAGGCGCGGTTGGAAGATCAAGCGTATCCATCAATTAGAGAGCTCTTCCGGGCCTCAGTTTACCCACTTACGGAAACGGGTGTATTAACTTGTTTCGTAGGGGGTCCGGAGGTGTAACTAATTAGTGTTTTTAAATGCTCCAAGATCCAGAGATGAAAGGAAATGCGAGAGACACTCAGAGATGATGACAATAATCATAACAATAAAAAGAATGACTAACTTCGAAGTCTGCGTTATGTAAGGAAGGAGAAAGAAGTTATCAGATTCGCACAAACAAAAGAAAAGCCCACCGCCCCCTTTGTTTCTTTCATTTCTCTCTTCCTCCCCGCCTCCGCGGAGCTCCCGATCCGCAGCAGGCGGCCGACGCGGGGTGCTGGGCTCGGACTTGGCCGCCGCGCGCCCCGCTCCCAGACGAGGGGGAGGGCGCGCCGGGCCGGCTCCTGACAAAGGCGCTTCCTCCAGCGAGGGCGCGGGATGCAGGCGCCGCAAACTCGGCTCCCGGCCGCCTCCGGCGCGGGGGCGCGCAGGCGAGCCGAAGGAGCCCGCCCGCCGCCCCGGGAAGCAGCCGAGGAAGTTGCGCGCCTGCCTAACCCGCACCCCTCGCCGACCCCGCCGCGACCCCGCCCGCGGGGCGCCGCGGACACTCACCGGACAATTGCTGGTGGCCAGAATCCCAGCACGACTCCGGGATCCGGGGCGAGGGGATGAAGTGTGCGTGTGTGGAGACAGCGAGCAGACAGCGCGGCGTTTCGTCTTCCTCGCCAGCCGGCCAAGCCCGGCAAGGGGAAGTTGGCCGCGGAGCCGAGCGCTGAGGAGCTGCGGGCGGAGGGAGAGGCGTGGGGCCCGCTTTGTGGTGCGCTCCCGGAGGGCTCGACGCAAATCCGAGCGCGCGGCAAGGCTGGTGTTGCTGGTGGAGGCGGCGGCGGCGGCGCCCCCCGACGGTTCCTCCGCCTCACACCGCCTCTGGGTCACTGACACACACTCGGAGGGAGAGGAGGGGACTAGCAAGAGGGCGGGGCCCGGGGAGGAGACAGGGCAGAGCCACAGCGGGAGGCGGGGCCACGGCGCCAAATGGTCTCTTGGGAGTTGTAGTTCTCTCACTGAAGAAAAAAAGGAATGCATTGTTGAGGATGCGTCCCGCTCGCTTTGCACTGCGCATGCTCGGGGGAGAGGCTCGGCGCCCACAGTTACTATGGTCACTGACACACTAAGGAAGAGAACGTGTTTAATGCTGCTGCTGGCTGAACAAGGCCCTTCTTGTATTATGGTGCTTGTATTAAGGATCCCGCCTTTAGCTAGTCTTTCCTACTTTGCTCTACCCCCAACTTCTAGCCTTACCATTCACAAGTGCCTAGTGAAATCTGACTTCCTCCTGATATTTCAGTCTTCCTTGCTGTTTCATTTTTATCCCACAAATCCTGAATCACAAATACCCATTTCCTTCCCTTCCTTCAAGCGAAAACTTTCTGCCTTAAATTCATGTTTTTTTGTTTGGGTTTTTTTATTACCTAAGACTTGCAGAAATATAGTGCTTCTAGTAACATAACAATTAGGTTACAAATTATTAGAAACAATAGTACCAGAATCCCATAGTTATTTCTTCAGTAAATCAGTCATATCTAACTTTAAGGCCAGAAAAAGTGAAGTTCAGGGTTAAGATCACTGTATTTTACTTGATCAGTATAAAATAATCCAGACTTTTTTAAGGCCTACAATTTTTAAGAAATACAAATTTCGTAAAGTGTAAATTCAAAAATAAGTGGAGAAGTTGAAAATGGTTTACTGTATATATTGGCAAACTTTCATTTGGCAATAAGAGAAGTCTGAACCAAGGTCTGAGTATGCTGTTGGGCTGGTCAGCTAAGTCAACACCCATACTGGTCATCTAGGTGTGAATAGGTGGTGGAGGAGGGTGGTGAAGGCAGGACACATTCCTGGATTTTCAGAGGACTAAAGTCAGCCTCTGTCAAACTCTTGGTTTTCCTTCTCTGCCTACCTAGAAACCTATACCCTGGAAGAAAAAAATTAATGCTTAGAAATCAGAAGCACATTTAGAGCAGGAAAAGTCAAGGTTTTAAAATAAGAGTCCCAGGATCCGAAATCCTTATGTTTGCAGACCACATAATTATTCATTCAAAAAACATGTATTGAGTATACAATGACCCAGGCACTTTATTAGGTCCCAGAAACAGCAATACAAGAATGTAAAAGAAACATTCCTCATTTTCAAAGTGCTTACTGTGCAGACTCAGTGTGATAAATATTATAATAAAAAAGTACACCAGATGCTTTGATACACAGCTACCCCAGACCCAGGCAAGGTCAGGAAATGCTTCGAAGAACGTTTGAACTTGAGGATGACAAGAAGTTAATGTGTTTGAGAAAGGGGAGGACAGAAGTGGGTGAGAGCATTGAGGGTAGAGGTGGATGGCAGCAAGAGTAAAGTACTAGAGGCATGAGACCAAAGAGTATTTTGGTTTAGCAGAGTTCAACATTGTTGATAGTAGAATGAGGTTGGGGAGAGGGGCAAGAGGAGACACAGAAAAGGTAGAGACAGCTTAGATCATGAAGAACCTAGTACAGCATGCTAAGGAATATGGACTCTTTTCTGGAAGCAATGGAAAGCCCTACCAGGATTATAAGCAGATAAAATTTTGATAAGATACGCATCTTAGAAATGCATTTTTAAAAAGATGAGAACCTGACTTAAGGCAGTGGCAGTAGCAGAAGACAGACTGAGGGTGATCAGACACTTTGAGGGATAGAATTAATAGAGCCTAGTGAGTATTTGCCTGTGTTTGGGAGTGAAGGGTGAAGGAAAGTTATCCATTATGATGCTTTTGGTTTCAAGCAGTAAAAAAGCCAGCTCTAACTGGCTTAACCAATAAGCCAATATTAACCATCTAGTCAAAAAGTCTCATGAAAAGGCAGGCTACAGGGGTGAATGATTGAACAGCCTGGTGATGTCTTTAAGGACATGTTTCTTTCTTGTTTCATTGCTTTTCCTTCCTTAGTATTAACTTTACGGTCAAATGACAGTTACCAACAATTCCTGTGGCTTTAAGTTTTGCCACTAGGTCCAAAAAGAGACAAAACCAGAGTCATTTTTGGAAACCCTTTTAGAAAGAAGAAAAAACTACTTTCCCAGAAACCTCAAGAATTGATTCATGTGTCCACATAAGCTAAAAATGGTGGCCAGGGAATGGCATGAGGCTAATTATCTTAGGACGAAGACATATGCCCTATCCCTAGACCCAAAGGAGTCAGCTTCCCACAAAGCTGTGATGAGGAGGTGTGGATATTCCTATGAAAGTTGAAGTGATTACTGCCCCCAAAAAGAAAGAGTTGAAGCTCAGAAGGAAGGTGGGGGACCACAATGTCTACTACAAGGAAAGAGAAGGTTGTCTCACAGATTTCCAGCTTATGTGATTATGAGTTAGTGATGCCATTCAGAGTTAGGGAATACAGGAGATTGAACAACTTTTGAGGAGGAATTTAATGAGTTCACTTTGGCTGTTGTTGAGTTCTAGATGTCTCTGGACATGTAGTGAAGAAGTGGAGTGGGCAGTTGTATATATACATGACTCTAGTGTTCTCAAGAGAGATCTGGGCTGCAGAAGATATAATTGGAATATATAGATGATAGTTGAAATTATGGGAATGGATGAGATCACCCAGGAAGAGTATGCACAGCAGAAATGGAAGAGTCAATAATAGCACTCTAGGGAACACCAGAGCTTAAGGAGTAAGCAGGAAGATCATGAAAATGCCTGGGAACTAGCAAGAGAACTAGGACATACAAAGAAGTAAGACAATTTTATTTATAACCAGGAGAAAAGTCATTCAATGTAAACAAAGCCAGAAATGATAGAGATGGTAGAATTAGCAGTCAACAACATTAAAACTGTTATGATAAATATGCTCCATATGCTGAAAGAGAGAAATTAAAGACATAAAACATGGAATTACTAGAAATTAAAATTACTTCTGAAATAAAAATTTCACTGAAGGGTTAACACCCAGAAGCAGATTAAGCACTCAGAAGAAAAGATTAGTAAACCTGAAGGCATAGCAGTAGAAATCTAGCTAAAATAAAGCACATGGAGAAAAAACTAAAAACACAAAAAGGAAAACAGAGCCTCAGTGATCTGTGGGATAATACTAAGTATTCTAAGATATGTGTAACTAGAGTTCCAGGTGAGAGAAGGGTGAGAGAGGGGTGATAGAAAAATGATTTGAAGTAGTACAGCTGAAAATTATTTCACATTTGATGAAAATTATAAACCCAGAGACTCAAGAAGCCCTAAGCACACACATATATGCACACTCACAAAACCACTGCAAAAGACACCATCATTAAATTGATGAAAACTAGTGATAAGAAGAAAATATTAAAAGCAACCAGTGAAAGGAAAAAAGGTATATTATGTATACAGAGAAACAAAGACAAAAATTCAGTAAACTAATCAGATACTCTGCAATGAAAGGGTATTTTTTAAGTGCTGAAAGCAGGAAAAAAATCCATCACATAGAATCCCATATTTAGAGAAAATATCTTTCAAAAATGAAGGCTAAAGAAAAAAAATGCTGAGTGAATTTTGCCATTAGAACTGCACTACAAGAAATATTAAAGCAACTTCTTGAGTATTAAAAAAACAATATCACCTGGAAACTTGGATTTATACTAAAGAATGATGAGTGCCAGAAATGGTAACTATATAAGTAAGAATAAAAGACTTTTCCCCTCATTACAAACATTTTTTAATTGATTATCTAAAGGAAAAATTATAGCATTGTATTATAGGGTTCATAACAAATGTAGGAGTAAAATTTTGACAATAGTTCAAAGGAGTGAAGGGGGCAATCATTAGAACTTACATGTGAAGTATTCTACTACAATAATATTTGAAAGTAAATTGTGATAAGTTAAAAATGCATATTCTAAACCTGATAAAAGCCATAAAAAAAACCAGATGTAGCTAATAAGTCAATAGTGGAGATAAAGTGAAACCCTAAAATAAATAAATAAATAAATACATAAATACATAAATATAACAAAAATTTTTAAAATGGCTAGAATGGAGAAACAGAAATATAGAAGAAATCTGAGTTCCTAATGACCATGGAGGTGACTAGAAGCTCCATATGGCTCTGGATTTTCTACCTTCTGACTTCTTTTAAGTGAGAGAAAAATAAACTTCTATCTTGCTTAAAGACATTTTTATTTTGTATTCTATGTTATCTATAGCTGAACCTAATCAGAACAGCCACAAGCCTATAAGTTTCATGAAATAGAGTATGTTTTTCAGCGTCAGATAGACCCACACATTACCCAGAATCTGGCCACATTGCCAGCAACTTCAACATAGTTCTGAGATTCATATATTTGTCATTAAAATTCCAGGGATAGATAGTCCATCTTTTGGATGAACATCATTTATTATTAATTTGATCAGTTTTCTTAAAGGAGAAAATATATGTAAAGTACTTAGTCCTTGGAATACAGCAAATTCTCAGTCAATATATAAACTTTGAAACTGAGCCACAATAATAAGATAGATATACCTCAATTTAGACATATGCTGGTACCCAAAGTGAAGGTGTAGAAAAGTTAGGTGTAAAAAATCAAAGTGGAATTCATTTACATATCAAAATCTGTGGATCTCTTCTTGAAATTATGACTTTACCTCCACCATACAGTTCTTCAAAATCTGCAGTCTTTTAAATTTAGGACCATTCAATCATGGAAAACGATTAAGCCTCTAATTACCATCTGCTCCATCTTCACATCTAGTTTAATACCTACATTTCCTTGACCAAAGCAGCTATCCTTCTGTTGCTTACTGCACTTTCAAATTTGTTATATTCAGCTATTTAGTCATTTTCGTAAGAAAGTGAATCTGGGGCACTAATAAGTTAGGTTTTTTTTGGATCTCTTAAATTATAAAATGGTTTTGATCTTAGGAAATTGCTCATTAAATTTCTGAAATTTTTTTTTTTTAAGCTGAGCCTTCCTGCCA